TGAAATTCTTTTCTTGACTAAGAAAAGGAACTGAGAGGAAGAACAAGGTAGAACAGTTTACAGGTCTTCTGTCTTATATCCCCTGTGGCTTTCCTTAAACAGCTCAAGTAATGTTGATATACCATAAGCAAAATTTGCAGGCAAAACAAGATTTGTCACTGTGAAGGGGAATGAGATTGTCCAGCAATTTTACAGATTTTTTTTTTCCCTTAAAGTGCCATAAGGTTTTAAAGATTTTTTTCAGAAACAGTATATTGATAGCAAGCAACAAGACCCACCTACGGGAAAAGAGGGCTAGACCGTTTAGCCTATTACAGTTTTAGCTAACCTATCTCTATGCATTGTCAGAGGTTTCCTTCAAAGGATTTGTAATGCTCTGGATCTTTTTAATGTAAAAAAAAAAAAAAAAAAAAAGATTTAATTATGCTGCAAGGGAATCAAGAGCATTATCACAGATACCAGTAAGAAACCTAATAAGTAAATATAAGTCGGATCCATGACACTGGATTCTGGAATCACTTCCCCCTGCAACCTTTTCTCCCTCATCTTTCCCCTTCCTCCACACCAGCTTTCAGTGCAGATTCTCAACAAAATTAAATATGTCCATCACAAGAAGTCACCCCTCTGCCTCCAGCTGCAAGCTCCCATCACCTGTCTTGGACCAGAACAAATGGTCATAGTCTTGCACGTTCAGTCAGATGATCCCACCCACCTTGTTGAAGCTTTAACTTACAAAAGAGTAAAACAAAGATAAATTTCCAGATTTTGATTCATCAGGCAACACGGCTTTACAACTGCTTTTGCTGGCACAAGTGAAGCAGAAGCAAGAGATGACTGGGAACGTAAGGACAGACCTATTTCTTTAATTGACTTAAACCACTTGTGTAGCAAGCCCATGGCATGAACCAATGCAGAGGCCTTTTCTAAAGCTCAGAGAATATTCTACCTCTCCCCACAAGTCAGTCTCCCCCACAGCACGTTTGTCAGGGCATGCGGACATTCATAAAGCTTTTTCAGAAGCAGAAGCAATTCTTTCTAATTTCTGGTCTTGTATTCTTTAGCTGAGGAATTCTACATCAGTTTCTGTTTTCTAGATCTATTATCATGACTACAAAACACAGTACTATTTCACAACCAGGAAAGATCATATTTAATGTATCACAAAGAGAAACTACAGTGAATTAAAAAATAACTATATTAACAACTATTAAAAAAATTAAATTAGATGCATTTGCACTAATTTTCAGGTATTTGGAAAAAGTAAAATGAAATGATGACTGAAACAATTAAACAAAACATATCTTACTTTAGGCAGATAGATATTTAAATCCAGACTCCTCCTGCTGGGCTTTCAATGGAAAGGTCAAAGGTGTTCACAAATTGCAAAGCACAGTTCATATACCAATTTTAAACAAATCTTTTACTACCATAGCAAATAAGCAACAGAAAATTATAAAAACTATGTTGGAGGTGATTCTCCTTCAAAGTCTTACACAATCTTATGTCTCTGAATGTCAGAAAACTGGATGCGGTTAAAGCCTTTGAAGCACATCAACACGTGAATACAGAAGCTCATGCTTTGGTTGCACTGTCACTACATAAAACAGATTCATTCAGACACATAAGGCATGCACCAAAGATCAGTGAGGTACAATCATATACAAAACCTTACCAAAAAATAAGACACAGAGCTGTACTCACTACTAAAGCAGAAAAGTAATGAACACTAATACAGAAATATCAAGGACAAGTCTCTCTTTTTTTGAAAAATACGTTTCAGGAGATGCCGAGATAGGTGCAGTATAAAACAGTTTCCCCAGACTTTCACCTCTCTGCCTTTAAGGCAACTTCTCCTCTTATGTCCTTCTCTTTCAGTGAAAAAACTTCTTACTTAAGAGGCTCTGGCTCACATCCTTAAGGTCCAATCATCTGAGCTACTGAAAACTCATTATTTAAATTAGTGCAAATTAAGCATGTGTTAATGACATCAATTCAGGATAGCACCACTCTTTATAACTCTACATAAGCACATGCTTTGCTGAATTCTGGTCTAATTACAGGACTGATTAGGAATAGGTTTAAGCATGTGCTTAAGCAACAATGGTCAGAATAATATGACTCCAAATACTGTGATCCCAACTATCAATAAATGAACCTTTATCCACATAGGGTTCAAAAATAACAGCAGCATCTAAGTCCAAGTAATTATAGTCTCTGTTTCTTGCCATTTTTTTGAGTATCACTTAGATTTCTTGGAATCCAATGTTTACATGCAGATTAGAAAGAAAACACATAGGACTAAAATAACACATTTATTACATGCCATGTTACAGTTCACCACATTCCCATTTCTATTTCCACTCGCAGTACTATGGGGAACTAAAATTATTTCATCAGAAACAAATGAAGTACACAGAAAAGTTTGTCAACAGACTGAAGCAAGTGTATCCGTAAGCCAAACAGCCATAACATTCAATAGCTTTAATACTCCATTACATTGTTTCATAGAAATTAGAGATGAAAGACTTCTTATCCATCCCTTGCCAATTTAGGATGTTTTCTGTTCTCCAATTCAGTCACTGGAGGCTGATTGGCAACTGACAACTACATGAATAGAAAAAGCTAACTAGATGTGCCAGCGGAAAGCAGACTCTGAAATTTGTATTTCCCCTTGTGAAGTGCCAAGTTCTTTCAAGTACCTTTTGTTTAAAGGTGAATTAATGAAACACAGGAGCTCACAAAATCTGGGCCTTGTATAGCAAGCAGACTGCTTTTCAAGTCCACACACAACATACTGCTGCTGAAGACACCTCTATGCCTCCTACAGAGAAATGTGTTTAGTGCACTGTCAAAAAGCATCAAACTGCACTATAGAATTACAACTGACACATTTCCATTGTACAGAACATTTTCTGAAAATGAGACTAAAGAAACAATACATTATAGTAGATCAGTGTTGTTAATGATGCTGCACTTCTATGCTCAGTCTAACAGTCAGAAGCTGGTGCTCAGAAAGGTCATGTAACACATAATGTCAGCCAACCTAGACAGCAGGCTCTCAGATTGTCTCAACCACTTTCATATTTCATCAGCTAAATACTGAAATAAAGTTTGCATTAAAATGGGATCTTCTCTGTCACACTTTCTTCCAGAATCAATGCATATAGTTTTGCATTCTCTATTAAACTTCAGGGCTGAACACTGCAGTAACATTTCATGTGAAATGTGTATTGCATATCATATTTTGTTATGTCTGATACCAACTAGAATATAAAAATACATTAATCTTTTCTGAGAAATTCAGAGGAGGGAGCACATTCCATGGAAATATTGGGGGGGAAGGTCCTTCATGTATCATTGTCTATTATTAGCCATTAATCACGTCTTTATCTCCAGTACTGAACATCCTTACCTACAGCCAAATGCTAATCCCATTAATCCTCTTTAAAGATCTGTAAGGTCTTCTGTGTAATTCTGACATTTACTTAATGCATATCTTAACTTTACAGTGATTTTCACAAGCTCACTTGAGACCAGTTTCTTTTTGAGAAAGGAGGAAAAACTGCACTTTTCCGTGATGAAGACAATGGATTTAAAAACAGAAATGAGATACTAAATGCTGTCAGCCAGCACTAGTCAACACAGAGAAGTCAGTCCAGAAAGGCTGTTACTGAGGAATTGCTAGCAAAGTGAACAGAAGCTCTGACCACAGAAAAATGGAGAACTGGTTCTAGGATTTTTGGGGGGTACATCCCATCTTGGAGAAAGATCTGCAATGCATAAGGATTATTTTTACTTCCCCTCAGTAAAAGGGATTTTCCATTAGAAACAAACAAATGTCAAGGAGGTAATTACACAGCAAACCATAAGACAGGTTTGGTAAACTCATACCATTTGGCTTTGGCTCAGTGAGTAGCATATGCAGCAACGAGCAAAATCTACAAAATCATATTATATGTAAAGTGGAACAGTTCACACACTACCCTCTTAGGGCTGGAGATTTAACACAGTGGCTTTGAATGCAATGACTATAGCACTGTTACAGGTTTTCCAAACTGTGATGATACAAATTCTACCAAATGCAGAGTTATGACTTTTGTTCTGGCCCCGAGTATGAATCAGACAAAGGAAAGGGGAATGGGTAGGATGGGAAGAACATTATGCGTAATGGCCAGAATCTCAGTTAGCCAATGTCAGTCTGTTTTCCACCAAATGTGCAAGCAATGGCAGGTGGGAAGGAATTTTTGAAAGTTGTAGACCTCTAGGAGAACTTTGGGGAATTCAGAAAAGTGAAGTAATGTCAGATGGAGCACAGACATAAATACAACCTAAGGTTGAAAGCCAAAAGCCTATATTAATGATCAGGATAAGACAAGCTCAGAATTACCCTTGGGGTTTTTGTGATATATCCTTTTCTTGCTGCTATAATCTCTGCATTCTGTACAAATCTGAATGTGATTAATTATGACAATCACTAATTTTAACATACTGCAGAGAACAAATGGCTGGTTGAAAAATAGAAATGTTTCATTTCAACTTTTTTTTAAATCAGGGATTAATAAAATCATCATCTTATGGATGAAATGGATGAGCATAACTAATCCCATTTTATTACGGCTTTCTTTGTAAAGGTGTAAGAGACACTACAAAATCCATCTGCATTATCATTTAGGATTAAAACTGAAAGCTGTCCAGTTAAATGCCATAGCCTCTTGACTCTGCATTTTGCTAGAGATGGACAAAAATATACGTGTGTTCAGGCAAGTTAAATCTTAGGGATATTTATTTTTAAATTTTCTCTTCAAAATACCAATATCAGTTCTATAGTTGATCACAAGAGGGAGACTACATGACCATATTTCCTCTCATTGTTTCAAATTTTTAAAGCATTCAAACAATTTGAGTCATTTTGGACCAGCTCTAATCTTTGACTGCTCACTGAAAAGTGTTAATTACTGTTCAATTAACATTTTTTTCTGAGTTTGTCAAATCTCTGAAATTTATAAATAAAGATAGCCAATCCAGTAAACAAGATTGAACAATGCAAAGGCAGTTGGAAAGAAGATTCGAGAATAGGAATCAATTTTTGCAATACGGATGTGTATTCTTCCTTCTCTCCAAGATCCTGTGCGGCAGTCTTCAAAACAGCAAAAGAAGCTAGCACAGTCTTTCCCTTCCAGGCACTCATATCCATAATCATCATCATGTTCAGGGAGATGATTAATGTTATTAATTGGAATTAGTGTTGATCCAGGTCGAACCGCAATTGCAGATGGTTTCTTAAGAAAAACAAAAAATAAAAATATAGTTTTGTGGGTTATTTTATCCTCACATTAAATAATTTCATAGGCTTTCCATAGCAAGGGCTAACATAAGCATCTTCAGTACAATATACAGAAATTCTAATACCAAAGAAAACAGTTTGGGAAACTTTGTGAATTATGAACTGCTGAATATAATTAGCTCATACAGGCAGAAGATCATGAACGATTTTCACCTGTCACAGTGAAAACTGCATTGTGCTGGGATTTGGGAATAGTGGATAATTAGTTACACAGATAGGGTTAGCTGATCCCATCTACACAACACAGACAAACATTTTGAAGTCAGTCACAGCCTGACAACTGGGTCACAAGCAAATCCACAAGCAGGCTATTAGCATCACTATCAAGGGAACCAAGGGAATGATGGTTGTCCCATTATTTGGAGTCTTCAGAATGAGAATGGCTGTCTTTCTGGAAGCTATATTTTCAAAAAAAAAAAAAAAGAAAAAAAAAAAGAGCTAATGGTATTAGCATAGCATCACTGGTGAAGAGACTGAGACACATTAAGGCCAGCCTATGTCATCTAGCCCTCCGATGTTAAGTCTGTAAACAATATGCCCCGCCTTTAGAAACTAAGACATAAGTCTCCTTAGGAGAATGCCATTCAAGTCAGTGAAACTGATTAATTCGGCTCTTAATTCTTACATTTACTTTCTGTGGGCACAACTCAACCATCTTCCAAACTGGTAAAAACTCAGTGTAATAGATGTTAAAGTTCATAAATAATTTTCATAGAAAAAAATCTGGGTCCCTTATTGAGTAGTACATATCCTGATTGTTATTCCCTTTCTTGCAACTTTTGCCTTTTCACATTCTTTTTACTTGCACTGCCACAGCCCATCTTTCCCCCTTTTATTGTTTCCACACAGTTCCTCACACTTCATCCTTACTTTCCTGAATATTTCAAAAGACATTCTCTCTCTCTCTGTCCTTTTCCTTCTTTCTAAATATCATTGCCTTTTTAAATGACTCCATAACCCTCTTTCTTTCAACACCCCCACTCCCCCAACCTTTGGCATCTCTTCTAAAATCTTGAGGCTGAAGACAGGGGTTGCATCAACACTACTCTTACATTACCTTCTCTGTTTTCTATCATGTCCATATTTTGTCATGTAAGGAAAAAACACAGCAGGAAAGGATGCAGTCAGAAGAACTAGCTGGTTATGGAAGTGTAGAGAAGAATCTCTCAAAAAATTATATATAATAGGCAATGAAAAAATATGAAAAAAATATGAAAAGCAGAAAGCCACATCATTTAGATTCTTATTATGTTTTAGAGTCCTGTTGTCCCACTTTCAGGGAATTACTTTGGCCAGTACACAGCTCTCTATACACTGTTAGGGAAGCACTCTATTGTTGCGGGGACATTTTACCCATTATCCCAAGGGGTGATGTTAAAGCAGCACAGTATCCACCATGCTTTTGAACAGCTTTACTTAATAAGTGTCTTTACCAGAGGAAGCTTCACACAGACTGCTGTTTCAACACTTTTTAGACATGATGACCTAGAGAGCTAATTATCATCCTGAAGGACCTCATTATTCTTTTCAGTTATGATAAAGTACTAACAATACTAACAAACAGCAGTTACATGCTTCTACCCTGAATTAAGGGATTACAAACAGGGCTTATTTTTACAAAACATAAAAAGTAAGTTCAAAGGTTTTTTTGAACTTAAAAAATCATTATTTTGTTGAAGATGCATAAGGAAAGATGCTTATTTCTGATCACGCCTGTTCCGGCTTTACAAGAATTTTCTGACTGTTAGTTCTACTAATGTAAGACTCACGGCATGATTCACTTCTACTAGTGGGGTAAAACAGGAATCTCCAACTCAGAAACAACATGTAAGGAGGGAAAAATAACAGTGCTGCTTTTCACTGCTCTTGTTACCAGCACAGACTGAAGCTGGCTATTGAACTACAGGTTTGAAGAGGGGGCCTGAGAGAGGCAGAAAGACAGTGCCATCTTAAAGGCCTAACTACCTACAGGGAATATATAAAATGTGTGTAAGAAAGAGACAACATGAGGGAAAAGGAGAAAAAAGACCAACACCCCACAAGAAAATGACCTTATATCAACTGGCAGAGACAAAAAAAACCCCCAAAAACATGCAGATACAGTAGTACATGCTAATTGTTCATGTACATGCCTACTGATACTGTAGATAAAACTCCGCATATAGCGAGAAGCATCTATAATACATTCTGATAAGACAAAACCAAATTATTCTGCATTAACACTAATACATGTACAAAAGAAAGATATCATCTGTGGAGATCATAGGACAGGTGATGCATTCACTTCAGGTGAAATGATGACCAGAACAAGATCCACAACTAATTAAGTTTAATCTTTCCTGCCCAAACTCATTATCCTTACTAATGTGGATTTACAAAAGCCAATTCATACTACCTTTCTTGAATAATGCCAGCACATATTTTGTAAGATAAAATTGTTGTAATAATTTGTAAAATCTCACCATTTTTTCACAAGATCATTTATTGCACCTTATTGGCATCAGTTCCTGGAATAATAAGCTTTTATTGCATTTTGAAATAGAAATAGAAGACCTATGCAAGGCAAGTTTTCCAAGGAAAAAAACACCTGTAAATGAGAAATTTTCAGAAGGAATTAAACTGACTATTTTAATTTAATTGGTTTCTTGAGTTATCTAGCCATAACTACGAGAGAAGAAGAATGAACAGAAGTCTTTGACAAAGATAAAGGGGGGGAAAAAAAAAGGAAAAAATTAGTTTTAATCATATGACTTCCCATTAATCAGATGGCTTCATTAATTGTTCTATTTGGAACAAGAAATTTCATATCTTTTTAAATAAAATATCAACAAAGAAAGCCTTATTTATCAAATTAGAATCCTTGCATCTCAGTATATTAACTTTAATTCCCTCCTTTTTTTAGAGTAATCTCAATCTACTATGGCCTTATACCCATAACATGCTGAAACATGTTTAAAAAATTCTGTGTGAAAAGATGGTTGTTTTTCAACTACTTAGAAATAAAAAGCCTGCTTTAAGAACACAGTAAAACAAAACAAAACAGTTTTGAGTATTATATTGACAATTTTAATCCTATTGCACGGATGTCTGATGTGTGAACAGATTTTGGAAAGTCTCGTTACTCCATTCAAGAGTATATTTGGAAGCCACATTAATGGTTTTTGATCTGCCAGCAGCTGATCTTTAATATCTCCCTGGTTTGAATAAGCAATATTTCCTCCCCTCTTCCTTTTCTCTTTGTTGTGCATCCTGAGAGCAGACCTATTTCAGCTCTCTCTTCCCTAAGTGTTGTTGAGACCTCATTGCAAAAATAACCTAAAATTGAATATGCTATGTTAACACTGGGAAGTCCCCCAAATTCTCTAGCCTCTGTTATCTTTTACCCTCATTGCTCAGCTGTGGCTTTTGACAAAGCCTGTTTTCCATCCTTTCCATTGTGCCCACATTGGCCTCTACCACCAACAGGAAGGAGGTCTGAGGATTCCATTTTCCAGGTCTCTTGGCTGTGCTGAGCTCCCTGAGGATCAGTGGTGTCCAACTAAGGCAGCACAGGACAGTATTAACCCTTCACCACTAGCACTGTCCTCAATACACAGCCGATCCACTTGGACCAGCTCACCATATGAAATGTAAGGGCTTCCATTTCCCTTACATGAAGCCACAGCAGCCCTGCAGTGCCTCCATAAGACAGCCTCCCACAGCAGCACTGCTCAAAATGGGTGTGCCAGTGCTTTCTGACACTAGTTGCAGAATGGATATGGTTCATAACAGGATTTTTGCATTTCCATATCTGGGCTTCTGTAATTTCATTTCAATTTCTGTTTGATCTTACACAGGTGGTACTCAGCCTTCACCCAGAAAATACAACTGATATTATGATTCAGCTATGCTCCAGATCCCTTTGATGAAATGATCTGGAAGGGGGCTTTATAACATTGTCCTTCCTCTTATTCTCTCCAAAAGATTACTACAATCAAACCTCAAATATTAAGACCAGTATTCGAATTAATGAGGTATTTAACACCTTTAGCTCAATGTTTTATTAGTTTAAAGATTAGCTTTAAATATTTGTACTGCTTCCAACAGCAGATTCTTTGGAAGTTCCAGTATACTTACTACACAAATAGAAATCCTCTTAGAATGGAATAATACTTGTTCCTGCGATACGTGGGGATTCACACCATGCAAACATCAACTTTTAAAAGCAAAAGGTTCATTTTACCAGAAAGAAACACAGAAGTAAATGAAAAGAAAGAGTTAAAGTAGAATTTCTGAAGTGGGAGTCAGAATATTGACCGATAATAAGCACTTTTTCCTCTGCAAAGCTAGCAAAGTAAGACCCAGATTAGGGGAGGCAGACCCAAACAGATCCTCGTTATCTTCAGTCCATTTACATTATCTCTACTGCTACAGTCTTATTGACAGTTCTCTGCCAGGTGCTGTTTTCAGAAGCACTGTGCCCAGACAGAGCACAGTGCCCATGGGCACAAAATCCATGGGCAGCTCTAGAAGCACCAAGGGCTTGGGCATGGCATGGAAGCATGGAATATTACATCAAACCACTTTCTGTCTTAGGCTCATGTGTTCTCATTCGTGTATGAATGAAATTATCTAAAACCTTTGTTCATTAGTAATATTTACAGAAGAGTACAAGCCTCCAACTGTAAAAAATGATAAAATAAATATTAGTGTTAATTATCTTTGAACATTAGCCCTTCTACTCAAGAATCAGTCTCTCAGAATTAATGCTACAATAAAGAGCATTCTGTATTTTTTTTCTTCTGGTTTGGCTAAACTTACTGATGGCTTAGATTTTGTCTTCCTTTCTTTTCCTTTGTCCCCTTTTCTGTTGCTGGTAAAGTAATGCAAGGTGCCATATTCCATCAAGGCAGCAAACACAAAAATGAAGCAAACGGAAACAAAAAGGTCCATTGCTGTCACATAGGAAACCTTTGGGAGTGACTTCCTAGCAATTGTACTCAACGTTGTCATGGTCAGCACCGTTGTAATGCCTGTTTGAGAAAGAAAGAAAAAAAAGACAAGAGGGAAGTGTATAAGTAATGCAATCCTATTGTCACCAAAAAAAAAAAAAAAAATCCTCAAATTAGCCCTGAATTCATTCATGAGGCATAGAAGAACTGAGCCACAGCAGGATTCACCCCGATCACACCCGCACACATCAGTGCTATTGCAAGAAGCCATCCCTGTGGATCCAGCAGCCACTGTGGGATTGTACAAAAGGCAGTACACTTCATCTTCAGTTTAAACTACTCCCATTTTCAACTCACACTGAATAAACAATGACACTAAGAAAGTTTGTGTAATTTTATAAATTTTATAGAATACACACATAAAATGAATACAATAGACAAACAGGTACAAGTAAGCACACAAATTTTATAAACACAGAAAAGTCCTTTGTCTCTTGAAAGATTAAAATGTACAAAAGCACATATTCAGAAAACAAAAGATGTGCTATTTATCAATGATCTCAAACTTTCAGAAAACACAAGAAAAAGGAATAATATTTTCAATTGTTTGTTTCTGACATAGCAGGTCAAACTAGATGACCTTCATGGTACTAGGTATTTTTTCAATACTGTGTCTTAAGTAATAGAAAACGTTTCCCTTGATTCACTTACATACAAGTTAATTACAAGAATAAGCTGGCCTTAATAGCAATGTGTTCAGAATCTCATTTCTAGTTTAACATTTAGAAGGTGTTAACACCTCTTATATTTGGTGCTTCAGGGAGATGCAAAGCCTTTTCCTACAAGTCCAAAATTAAGATGTGACCTTTACTTTGGAGAGCAATACTTGAACACACAACTAATTTGTTATTTACACGCACAGGCTTATTGCAAAAAATGTATTACACTAATCTAAGGCTGTCTATGGCTTTTAAATCAAATCATGGAATCAGGGGTTGCTATGGACTGATCCTGCTGCAGGAAAGCAGTGGTGATTTTGCAACAGATTTCCCAATGACATTACATGCCTAAAAGGTCAAACAGACAACCACAGAGTTTTTCAAAAGTGCTTCACTCCTATAGATGCTTTCCCAGTCCTCCTTGCTATGCAAGAGGCATGCAGGGGGCTGACACAGGGAGAAATCCTTCCACAACATCACAACTACCTGCCACGAGAGACCATGCTTAGTTTTGGCTTTATTGTCTTAATTTCTTGGTCTTTTTCTATAAAAATGTGTTTAACTGGTATTCTCTTTCTTCTTCACCAGAACATCTGCATGTGAGAAAAGTCATCTTACAATCTGTCAAACAATGGATTCTGCATGTTCACACAAAAGTTGCTCAGCGTTAACTGTAGGGACCTGTAAATATGATATTGCAAACATTTGTAGTACATCTTAAACAGCTGAAAGCTAGTACTGCTGAAGTAGGAGCATGAAAACTCTAGCTTAACCATAAGTATTTGCAAGGTAAGAAAAAGTACTCTGTAAAAAGAACAAACTGCATACAGACTTAGCAGGATACCAATATGGGCTTTTCCATCCACAAGGATGTCCAATAATTAGTCAAAGAAATTTTATAATAAATTTCTAACTATCAAGAGATAGTGTCATTTATTCAAGATTTTAGGCTTTATTCACTAAACATTGCAGTATTTTTAAATAGGAGAAAGTTAAGATCCAAGACTTGGATTTTCTTCCCTTATCTTTTCATTAGGCTACTGAGCCATACCCATTTTTGCTTTCTTTCTTGATTTGCAGGCTTGACTGCACCGTGGTCCAGTTTCAGTGGGAAGGGCAGGGAATTAAAGCCTGGTCTCACCTTTCTGGTAGGCAACGCTCCTATAACATGGGAATGGTGTGTTCACAATCCTCTAAGCTGATGAGGACACCTCTCAGTTCCTAAGATACACTCTCAGGTCTTGATCTTTCCCCCAAAATAGGTCATACCACCATCAGCAGTTTTACTAAAAGCATCTGTCACTGCTAAGCTCAAAATTGCTAGTGTCCATCTTGCTCACTCCATGCACCCATGTCTATCCTGCCTTATGTGGGGACTAGGACTCTTCTCTAAGGCAGCACATGAATATAAACAGTCAAACACAGGAGACTGACACCACGCTAAACAGCTCAGACAAGATTACACTAACACAGAATTATCTCCGTAGCAGAACTTGCAACACACTTCACTACTGTCTGTATTAAAAGCAGGACAGTGAGTCAGTTTTTGTGGGTTATATGCTTAACTGCTTGAAGTGCAACTTTTGTTGAAAATTTTCTGTCCTATCTTGGGCTTAAAAGAACAACTGAATCATTTCTATCATTAAAAAAACCACCACCAACAACAACAAAAAACCATCAAGAAAACCCCCAAAACAGCATCTTCACAGTTTTTGCCTGTGTAGCAATGACATCCTTTGTTCCATGATGCTAAGTGAAGTTTAGTCATACTTGTCACACTAGTGATTGTTATCTCTGGGGCTGGCAATATGGCAAAAAGAACATAAAGGAGAAAAAATGTATTTATGTGAACAACAGCAAATCCACAAGGCTTGTATCAGGATTTCCAGATTGCCATTCTCAACACTTCCTCCTTAAGCCCTGCTGTGCAACCACAGCAGGATCTTCCTACTCTTAATCTTGCAGTTCAAGAGAAAGGGTGACCAATGGTCACAGTCTGAAGGAGAATAAACTGGTTAATTTACTCCCTGCTGCAGATTTTTATTCCTGGGGAGTACCAGGTTGAAAAAAGACATTCTTACCCAGAGAAGTCCTTGCAGGAACTGCATCCTTATTGATCCAAAATGACACCCATGAGAGAACAACTGTGAGTATACAAGGGATGTATGTCTGAATAGTAAAATATCCCATACGTCTGCTGAGATCAAAAAAGATTGTCATAATAATATAATCACCTATAAATAGAAAAAAAATACTTACACTACATTGAAAATGGTTTTCAGTTGTATCTTCATCTGTTAGTCTTGCTCTACATAGATATTACATGAAATAAAACTTAATGCTTTGCCTTACCAGACAAGGTATGAGAAATTTCAGTTGTATTTCGTAACCCTACAAATGCAAACTGATACAATCTCCAGTATTTTGGATCTGCCACTTCAACAGAGGTTTTCTTCCATTTGTATTCAATTTCATTTCTGGGATATCCATCTAGAATAAAACAGAGCAAATCAAGTGTTCAGCCATGGTATATACCAAGCATGTTTTGTGATCTCTGAAGTTGTTTATAAACTAAACAAGGGCTATACATAAAGTGGATCAGAGAGAAAGTCAATCCGTAGTCCACCTGATACACTTAAAGTTTAACAACAAAATATCTAGCCTCAGTTTTAAGCCTACCTAAATGTATGACTGATCAAAAACTACATAAATACAAATGTTTAGGAAATATCTACACAATATTCTGGAACTCAGATATGAAAAACTGGCTCAGAATCATCACTATGAATTAATACACAAATGTAATATGCATTCTCATTAAAAGACCACACAGAGATTAAAAAGACAGACACTTATTAGTACATAATTTGCTAACATTTCTCTTGATGTTTATTGAAAATATCTTTGTCTATTATTCCCAGAATAGATTTTTGTGGCCTGATTCACTGTCCAGTACTCCAGCTTTAAGAAACTGCAACCTTCTTGATTTTCATGTGCCTTGCATGCTCCTCACATTATCTTGCAGAAAGGCAGAAACGAAACTAAGTAAGACTTGCTTGTGTGGCACAACTATTTAATCGGTGGAGCTACCAAAGCTCGTTTAGCTAGAACCACTCAAGAAGGAAGTACTAAATGAAAACATTAATTAAAAAAAAAATTAACTGAACTTTGATCTCATTGCTTATTAAGTTTCACATTTACGAATAAGTTGTTTAGCTGTGTTCAGGTGGTTTGGGTTTCTTTGTGAGTAATAGCACAATTCCCTTAGGAACTTTTTTTTTTTTTTTTAAATATAGTTTGTATTAAAGAAATGAAGCCTGAAAGTTGTGTTTCCTGCTCACATAAATAAGTCCCACTGAAAGGGGAAGGACTTCTTATACTGATGAAACATTTACAGGAACAGGTTGAAGAAGACAGATCTTATTTTTCCTTTTAAGTATACCACATGGAACTAATTCAAAGCTGAGAAGTCTGGTAGGCATAAAAAATAAATTCTTCCAGGGCAATAGATTTCCATTAACTAGAATGGGCATTGTATCAGACTCCTAAGCAATATGATTACTTTTAAAGTTGCACCTAAATGAAATGCATGTAATTCAACTCATTCAATTACTGCATTTAATAATGTATTAAATAATGCAATAAATCTAATCAAAACATAAACAGGTCAGTTCTGTCCTTCACTACAAGGCTTTAAAAAGCAAACACTTGCTCTCTTGCTGTCAGAGTTTAAGGCAATTTGAAGCCTGAACGTAAAAAGAAAAAAAAAAAAAAAAAAGTATTTTACCACCTACAGCTTGAAAACTCCAGTGGACAGGAGTGTTCATCCATAGGGAAGTTATGAAGCTGAAGATAACATTCAGCATTAATTGTCAGCCTAATCAGAAAGGAAGGAGGAAAAAAAAGAAAAAATATTATATTCAATCATCCAGACACTTCAGACTAGATAGTAAAGAACATGCACAGAAATCAGTTTTGCCAACTAATGGATGTTATGTGTAGCCAACTGTGTATCTGCAAAAAACATCCAACATCACCTCCAAAGAACAAAAATCGTCATAATATGCAATCTGAGGACCTGCATTGTTTCAACTGGCATTTCAAGTCATTTCAAAACTTGCAATTGATTTGGGGGGCTGTCTCAGAAATAGGGGACAAAAAGGAGGGACTGAAGGCAGGGCAAGGATGGGAGTTTATGACAGCAAATAAAGGAAGTTTCTGAAGAACACATTTGTCAAGTCAAATGCATTTGGCATCATCTTATCTGGTGGCTATATACACGAGAAAGTTGGGACACTCTTGGGCTTGCTCTATACTTATGAAAGCAGCTCCAGTGAGGACAGTAGCACAGATAGGAAACAGCAGACTTGATACTTCTACTAATTTAATGTCTAAGGCATTCAAGTAATTCACACAAATAATACACATTTTAGAAGTAGTTTAAGACTTGTAATGGTATCAACTGAATCACTTGCTGCTTTTGAAAATACTATCACAAATTTCCAAAGAGCTTCCAAGCAACCAGTGCATAACCCAGTGCTGCTAACTTTCCCTAGGAAGCTAGAGTAAGGGGCTAGATTCCAAACTGCCTTCTTTGCCTTTAAAATCATAGAACGGTTAGTATTGGAAAAGGGACCTTAAAGATCATCAAGTTCCAACCCCCCTGCCATGCGCAGGGGCACCTCCCACTAGACCAGGTTGCTCAAAGCCTCATCCAGCCTGGCCTCGAACACCTCCACCGATGGGGCATCAACAACTTCCCTGGGCAACCTGTTCCAGTGTCTCACCACCCTCACAGTGAAAAACTTCTTTCTAATATCTAATCTAAATCTACCCTCTTTCAGCTTATACCCGTTACCCCTTGTCCTGTCACTACACTCCCTGATAAAGAGTGTTCTTCCATCTCTCCTGTAGGCCCCCTCTAGGTACTGGAAGGCTGCTATTAGATCTCCTTGGAGCCTTCAGAGCTCCTCCTTTGTTGGTAACACTGTGAAGAAAGTCAGAATGTCTTCTAAAATCAACTTTGAAAATTAACATAATGCTTACATACTTGACTGTATGAAATACCTACACACTAGACAAAAAGGGATAGGGAAAGGAAAATTCAGCCAAACACATGCAGAAAGTTCTATGAACAAAGTAGTTCTTCTACACAAAGTGTCACTAGGACCTTTCTAGAAATCTAGAAAGAGAGGTTTATAAAGGAAAGCGTATTTCTTGACAGGGGGGGGGGAAGGTGGGGGAGGTGGGGAAGAGGAAAAAAAACCCCACATTTCCAAGTAAAACACTTGCATCCCCCTGAAGGTGCTTTCCAAATTTGCCAGTTATGGTATAAGCATTTATTGCCTTTGCTTTCCATTTTCAACCTTTGGATAGTCAAACACTTAAAGAAAAAGAAAAAAAACCCACAACAACACAGACCTTTACTAAGAGCAACACAACTAGATCTGGAATCACTGAGGGTGCAATAGACAGACCATGGACTACTCTCAGAAGAGACTCAGTAAGTCTGCCTGTAACAGAATCACCACGTCTACTCCCTCAAGTACCAATGGGGAAAGTGTGGTAGTACAGGGGAACCAGCAAGCCTGGAGCACTGTCAGATCCTGTTACAGTTCCTTTAATAACCAACATATGAACCTCTCAATGTTACTCCACCTTAGGCCAAATTCAGGCCACATCTTCACCTCTACAGATGTTTGCATGTTGCAGTGCTGGGTGAATACCTGTTCTGCAATTTTATTACCAGCTCATTTCACTGCATAGTTCATACTCCAGCACAATAATTCTAACTTGTTTCTCTGGGAGAGCTCACATGGGTTTTTTTGGTTGCATTTGTTTCTTTGTTTTACTTAGACTCTGTTTAAAATAAATTGTACATTGAAACTGAATGGACAATGGAAGGGTAAAGTCCAAGTATGATTCTGGAATTGTTAGCCACAAAAAGAAAAAAAAAAAGCATTAGCATGTTAACAGAAGAGCCTCTTTAGATTTTTTTTTATAAACACCAGCCTAATAAACTGTTTAAAAAGTTCTCTTCAGTGGTGTTTGTACACTCTCAAATGAAGCATATTAAAAAAAAAAGATCAGTGAAAACAATATTTTTAAAACATTCTAATTCTTCTTCCTTCTGATAAAGAAGACTTTCATAACCTGTTCATAAAACACAGCCAGCCTGCATACGAAAACAGCGAAAATGACTGAAAATAAAGTAATTAAAAGGTGCTACTTTTTGTTTAAAATAAACAAATAGCTAAAACCTTAAAAGCAGAATCAGATTTATGGCATCCTCTCCATGGACTGCTTCTCAATCAACTCCTACTTTATTTCAAGACTTGTTAGGCACATTTAAAACACAAAACTGAGAGATGACCCTAAAATGCTTTCTGTAGATTACAGTCTTTCAAGGTCGATTTGATAAGTGACTTAAAGATCAGTACAGATGACCTAGAGGGTAAGTTTAAAACCAGCCCAAGAATCTCCCTGTTACCAAGAATTGTCACTAACATGTTTGCTTATGCCTAATTTGGATGAACAGATTTGTTGATTTTAATAGCTTGCAAGAGTAAACACGTGTAGTATATGCAGGACTCATGACTTAGCTTTAATCAAACTTCTTATGATTTTTATTATCTGAAGCATTTAATCTTTTACTTACAGGATAGAATTTGGTAGAAATTAGATACTGAACTATTTAGGACAGAAAGTCATCAAAACAATTTACAACTAGATCTGCAATATGTTACTGACAGACCACCATCATGCTACATAACATCTTTTTTTTAATGTTTCCTGTACCTAAATGAGATTAAAATTTGCTGTCTCCTTCAATTGTCTTTAATCAATTATCCAGGCAATATATGGCAATACTATTAATTTCATGTTTTTCATGATCAAATCATCTTTTCTTTCTCTCCTTTGGTAAACTCATTGCAAACTCCTGTGGTCCACAACAAAGGAGGTGCCAAGGATTTGATTCATATTTATTATCTTCATATTCCTGGTCATAACAGTTTTATTTTTGTCTAGCCAGTTAAAAACCTACCTTAGAGTGTATAACACTCTTCCATCACTCCAGATTCGAAGCAAACGATTTGGAGTTGTAATCCAGTGAGCATCTGATTTCCTTGAGTTCCGGAAGAAAGTGTCTGGAATCCAAATTTTTCCAACCATATTGCTATTAAGCATAAGCACCTTCATTGAGCTGTTAAATTTTAGACGACTGTCATACCAAGTCTGGGCAAAAATTATATCTATAGTGTATTCCTAAAAACAGAGAAACAACCATATCTATGTATACATTTACCAAAGTCTGCAAGCCAACAATTTTTAATTCATATATAAATCTGAGGCCACTTCTACTCTCTTTTGTCTTACCATTTGCACAGCACACAGCAGCTTGTAACCCCAAACTGAGAAACAAAACTGAGAAATTACGAGACTGATGAAAGACACACACAGCTTTCTGTTCTCAGCTCCTCTCCTCTGACACACATTAATAGTTAAGGAAGAGGAGACGTGATGGGAACTTGCTGTATCTTGGTGGTCCCCACACAGTGCAAACACCTCTGGGGACCCTAGAGAGAAATCTGAGGGCAACCTTAATACTTCAGGGCTAGGCTATGTTTGTTAAGACAGAGATTCTGTATCTCTTAAGAAACAAACCAAATAAACTTTCTATTTTTTTTTTCCCCAAAAACTTTACAATATGCAATTTTCCTTCAAGAAATTTCAGATTTTGAAAAATTCATTAATATGCAGGAAGTAAAGATCACAGTTTGCGGAACTATATGCTACCATCTGCCTCATGTATCTACCTACATACACACAAAAGCATACATAATCATAATCAGGAAGGAAATTTCCCTAAAGCAATTCCACTTTACTTACTAAAGCCTCAAGAAAGCTACTTTTCTGATAAAGTCAAATTTCTCAGTAGACAGATGACCAGCAAGGAGAGACGACAAATTAAACGAAAAATAAATAAACAAACAAACAAAAACAAATGAAAAAAACATCACACAGCCTTTTAATGAGACAATTCTTGACAGAGTAAAACTTGAAGGAGTTTTACATTTACAAATGCAATGAAATATTTGTTTTCAAAGAATACAGCCAGTTGTTCCCGCACTCCAGCCAAAGGAGCAAAGCAGCAGCCTCTTCCCTGTTGCATTCGTCATGGCTCCAGACAACGACTCTGACCTTAAGGGCCACAGTCTCTACTTGATGGCAGATGGGATTTTTTCCTGCACAGTCACCCCATGAGGGCTCCAAAGAGCAACTCAGCAGCTCCTCTGCAGGGAGAAAGAGCTGAAGACCAGACTTAGACACTTGGTGTTGGTTGTTTTCCTCTCAGTTACAGGATGGAAAGGAGACAGTGGCCCAAACTCTTGCTTGAGCCAAAGGGGTTACTACTGGTTTACTTGGGCAATAAAAATGCACAGTGCAGACAGTCAATTCTGGTTTTAAACAAAAGTGGAAGGCTTTGCTGGTCGGAGTGTTGTTTTGGGGGATTTTTTAAAATCATTTTACTTTTAAATAATCACAGCAGCTAATGGTACAAGTTAGACTCCTCTTCATTTCTGCAACTGATACCACCTATCTCCCAGGAAAGTTTGTGAAATTTGGCATTTCATCCTTGAGAAGTGCCAAGGCAGATATTCCAGGACTACCTAAATCTCTCTCAATTTTCCCACCTCTCCAGGTGAGAGAAGAACAAGTTCAGGAAAGAGATATGCAAGAGGGAGATATGCCCTTGCTTTGTGATGTCTGACAGCTGAATTACCACCTGGACTGTGGTAATTCAGTGACTCTCAAAGATTATGAATAACTAGTGTATGAGGCAAACAGCGGAGGGACGGAGGGAACAAAAGGACTAATAAAAAATGCATTTTAGAGATGACTTTGCTCTAAAACTGCTCTTATTCCTTGCATTGCAAGGAATGGAATGAAATTTCTGCATTGCCATCAGGAGAAGATTCTGCAGGTCAAAACAAGTCCTTGGCTATTTTATTTCTGTAAACAACATTCAAAACACCTGTGAAAACCCAGGGCCTGTTTAACCTTAAAATTCAACTTTCTGTGCTCATCTATAGTGGTTAAAACTAAAAAAGGAAACTTTTCTTGCGTAGTGTAAATGAGAGCCCAAGGCAGTGCACCGAGAACTGTTTTAGTGGGCTTAAATGGAACAGAATGAAGAAAGATTTACATGTTGCCTTTACAGTACAGATAGGAGGGAAAAAAAGTCAGTGAGTGAAATCAACAGACATGACCAAATGTATGAAAAGAACAGCCTGTCTGAACTTGAAGGTGCTACTCTAAGCAGCCACTTCACAGTAGCACTGCATTGCCTGAAAAAAATAAATTTATCAGAGTGTCATTACAGTCAAATCCATCCACAGCAAGAAAACTCAGGTTGCCATAGAACACCAACCACGTAACAAATTAAGATAACAAGGGAAGAGGAGCTCACAGATTATTTTGAACAGAGAAAGCAAAGGAATAGCCTCAGTGGACGCAGATGCTTCTATTCTCTTACCTCGCAGTATTAAATGTGCAAGTTTTTATCATACCCATGCACTACAGGAGATATCTAAACAACTTTTTTTTTTTAAATAAACTGTTGAAATCCTATCACTATTCAAAAATAATCTAATACATACTAGTTTAATATAATAAAATTAGTTACTACTTGCTTCCAAGTATCTCGTTGAATGTATAACAAGAGATCCAATTCCTAGCCTCTTGTCATGTACCTGAAGAGTGTGGGCCTCCATTTGTAAGCTGACACTTCAGGACCCAGTCATCTCCCTCTCCTTCAGGAATCAGACAACCAAAAGCATAATCCTACTAATCATCCCACCTGAAAGATGTGGACTTGCAGCCTCACAGTGGGTGTCAGCAGCAGTTCACCCCACTCTTCAGCAGGGACCCAGAGTCTCTGATTTCTCCCAAGAGCTTTTATCCCACTTCTAACATCTGCCTTGGTAGACATTACTACATACTTCTTCAGCACATCTGTTTGTCCTGTGCCTCCCTGAGACCCCTCTGTCTTTGAGGGTCCATAACACATCCTGAGGCTGCATATATTCTTCATACAATGCATCTCACATGGGATCACATTTTCAACCCATTACATCTATACTATCTTTCACTCAAGTGAGTGAAAAGCACACACAGGTACTCCCATTGTACAGATGCAAGGCATGTAAAAACGGGACTCAGATGTATATTAGCCTTCTTTATGAACACAAGTTCCCCCACAGAAGAGGTCAGGAGGCATAGGTCCAATCAGACCCCAAACAGTCACCAAGCACAGGCACACATATAGGGCGATCAGACAACTTAGAGTCTGGCAGCATGCAGCTGTGACAGTATAGATGCTTGAAAGCAATAACCTGAAAGTGAAGCTATGCTAGGGGGATTACCAAGAAAGTCAGATTCTTTCTGAAAATATAGTTTTGAAATGGGCCTGAAATTTTCAGACTTTATGGATTCATATACTGAATTTCCTTGAATTTGCATCTCCTGAAAAATATTTTATGTTTCATTTTAAGAAGGGGAAATCTGGGTCCCAAAAATTTGTTGAAAAGAAGGTAGAAAAAAATCACTATACAATCTTTTCTGGAAATACTGATTCCAAAACTAGAAAAATAGAAGCCCTGTCTTTGTTTAGAAACCATATGAGAAAGCACAAGAGCATCCAGATTTATACAATATTATTTTAGTGCAACAAATCTTTCTGAACAACTATTTTGTTTTCCTTGTTTCTTACAAAAGGTTAAATTTAACATTCTTATCACTGCTTCTATTAGACTTTCATAAAACTCACTATTCAATGCTACTGTGTAACCATAAAAATTGGTTTACTTATCTCTCTTTCAAATGAAAGTAATGATAAAACAGCCATGCAGAATAAAATGGAATCAATCTGTGGCTGCGTTAGTCACAGCCATAGCAACATGCATGCTTATTCATATTTAGCTTTACAGAGTTCAATAACCATGGCACATGTTAGCTCATATTTGGCATTTGATTACACTGAACTCCTTTTTGCACAGCTAGCATAAAGAGCCCACCTGCCTAATTATTTACAGATACCTGCAATCCTCCTCCACCTCTTTCCTCTCTAAAAGATCATAACAAACTCCAAAGGCTGGGAACACAGTGACTAATCAGATATTACCATTAAATGGCCAGGCAGTGAAAAAAAATGTGAATATTGACAAGCAGGCATATAGTCTCAGAGAAAATCATTTAATAAATAAAAGCAATTACTCTGAATAAAGTAGGAACAGCTACTGTATGGGAATAAGTGGAACCCTCAACATCAGTTTCATTGTCATCTGCAGTTCAGTCACAGTCACAGTCACAGTCACACAAGAAAATGGGCCAGTGGATTGTTTTTTTCTTGGAAAGCTGTGAAACAAAGAGTCAGATACCACCCTACAAGATTGCTTCTCAGTGCAAACCGCATCACATCAATTCCAACATATTATCAATAAGGACGGAAAAAAAAAATCTCACAAAGCAGAAAACCTTTTTTTCATGGATATTTGCCTGGCAGTCTCAGAACAGGTTTGATATTCCACAGGAAAAAACGTGGAGAAGTCCAGCAATAAGTAGCTACATTCTTGGCTGGATTATGTTAACGGCAACACATTTTGTTTGAGAACATGAAAAAAGTGGCCTAGTTTTCTGGGGCCAAACACAAAAGCAATGAAAAGTCCCAAAACCTAACTCAGAACAGAAAAATTGTGCTGGTGATCTACAGGCCTGCAATACAGTTCATTACCAGGGAATTTCAGAGAAAAAAAATTAATAAAAACATACTCCAGTAATTTCATCTTTGCTCAGAAACCCACCCCAGTTTTTCTCCTGGATTCGAAATTTCACCTCAAGGGCACCTGGAGCTTTCTGGAGTGCAACAAGCTAATTCAGAAATCTGTTTCATAGGGAGCCCCTGAACTCAGTTCCATTACCAAGTGCTACATGACTTAATCTTATTCAGCTATCTGAGCTTCCAGATATGTTCCCCATGTTTCTTCATTCTATCCAGCTTTCTAATTCCTTAAACTGGAATTCAATGTGAGGGAGGCAGGGAGGTTTTCAGGAAGAAAAAAAAAAAAAAAAAAAAGAAGGGGAAACTAAGGACAGCATTCTTCCAACCCATATGTTTCAATGTTAAGATATGTGATTTAATACCAAAGACTCAGTTTAATATGCTGATTATGAGGTTTAAACAATAAAGTTAGAGAAAACTGGTA